GGATAAACAGTAAATTCCATTCTCTTTTCAGGCACATTTTTGTTACTTTTTATAAACTTTCCATACAGTATGGAAAACATGCTGCAACCAGGAATGGTTATACGATGCTGACTGTTTAGATGCGAATCCAGTAGAACTTAAGAGATGCCATGTTCTCCTGACCTAGGTTACAGAGGCGCACTGACTATAAGACAAAGGATGCCAAACAACTTGCCTTCAACCCATACGTAAACAATCTCTTAACTTGACAGAATCAAGTCTACAATCAATGTCTTGACAGAGGGCATTAACTATCAAATATGAGGAAAAATAGATTTTTGGTATTGATGCTGTTGTAAATTATGAGACTATTGGATCAGGCTCTGGGCAACCTGATTGAGCTGTGCATGTCCCCTTCTCCAGGGGAGCTGGACTAGATGACCTTTAAAGTTCCCTTCCAACTCTAAGGATTCTACGATTCTAGGATAAAATAAAAATTGTGCAAAGTAGACCTTTTTGACATTCACTTTAGTATTAACACACTGCTATTTCCATTATACAGAAATTTACAGCATATTTTCACCAAAGAAAAGCAAACATTTCATCATATTTTAAGTAATAAGCTAAGTGATTCATTTAAGAAAAAAATTTGTTGGTGGAACTCCTCCACCTTGAACTTTGCAATGCACCCAAGTGAACACTCCTTTCAAATACTCTATTTAAAGACAACCTAAAACAGGTAGAATAGAACATAAAGAGAAATGCTTACTTGAAGAAAGATGAAACTAATAAAATTAGGAGAACAATTAAAGGAGATTAAAAATGGGTCAATGTAAGTTGAAAGTACATTTTATTTGTAAATGTAAGATAATCTTGTTATATCTGGGAGCACAGGAATACATGCCACCTGTTTCTTAACAACATTCAGGATAACACGTCTTTTCAGGCTAAGTCAAGAAATAACCACTGGCAGAATGTGGTGTGTGACAGGAAAAAATAACAAACATACTTTTTAACTTATTAATTATCTGCACTAATGTCACTTGCTATTCTATCAGCAAGTGTGCTTTTCAATCAATATGCATTAACCTAAGTATAATAATACATTGTAAATATTGCTGTACTACTATATCAAGATTGAGTGTTAATGATGTTTAACGCTTATAAATTTTGAGGAATTTGGTCAGTCTTCTTTACTGGAATCAAAGCAGTACTTTTGTATAGTTGGCTCCACAACTTAAGCAAGTGTTCTTCAGTGGTAGCTGCCAGCAATACGAATTAACACTGCTCTTAGAAACAGTAGAATTTCTTAGCATTAGCTTATGCACTGCGAAGTGAAACATAACTCAAGCTACGTAGAGAAACTCTAAGCCATTCTAAGGATGTTGTGATAAAAGTGGAAACTTAAATTATGGTACAACAATAGATAAACTTCTGCAGGATTTAGTTTCCATGTTGCCAATCGATATTTAACTCTACGTGGACAAGCAATCTGATAGGTTTCTCAGGTTTTTAAAGTTACTTTCCTTTTAACTTAAATAAAAAACTTCTGCTGATAATATTGTGCAATTATATTAAAAAAAAAAAATTCTGGCCTTCCATGTTTTGTTAACATCCTGCTGTTCCTTAGATTTCTAAGTCTGTAAGTCGGGGGGGGGAGGGGGGGAGGGGAAATAGTAACAACAAGTAAAAAGTGAAGGACTAGACCTAGTCACTTATATGTGCAGATCAATAAGTTTATTTGGCAGGAGAATTAATGTGAATGCCCAGAGAGGTTGTAGATGCCCTGTCCCTGGAGATGTTCAAGGCCAAGTTGGATGGGGCCCTGGTCTGGTATTAAATGGGGAGGTTGGTGGCCCTGCATGTGGCAGGGGGGTTGGAGATTCATGATCTTTGATGTCCCTTCCAATCCTGGCCATACTATGATTCTGTGAATATCACTGAGACTTATTCAGTTCTGGTACTACTATTCAACTCAGTAACATAGATTGTCAAGGTTTGACCCTTGAAGTAGCACTGGTGAGACTGCGCCTCAAATACTGTGTTCAGTTCACTGTAAGATTGTTGAGTTGTTCAAGTGTGTACAGAAAGAGCAACAAAGCTGGTGAAGGGACTAGAACACAAGCACTATGAGGAGTGGCTGAGGGAACTGGGATTATTTCCCCTGGAGGAGGCTGAGGGGAAACCTCATCATTTTCTTTAACCACCTGAAAGAAGGTTACAGTGAGAAAGTTGTCAGTCTCTTTTCTCAGGTGACAAATGATTGGATGTGAAGGAATGGCCTCAAGTTTCATCAGAGGCAGTTCACATTAGATGTAAGGAAACCAGTTTTCATGGAGAGGACTGAAAACACTGGAATGGTCTTCCCAGGGAAGTGGTGGAGGTATTTAAGAGACATTTGGATGTTGTACTAAAAGATATGATAGGACTTGGGTGATGATTGGACTTAGTGATCTTGAAAGTCTTTTTCAACCTGGATGATTCTATGACTCAAGGTGTGTCAATTGTGAAAGTTTGTTCAAAGAGAATTTAAAATTATATTTATTTTCTATTGCCTCAGAGAATTCCTGACATAAATTAAGCTCCTCATATGATGAATTAAAATTACTTAGATTTAATTTGAATCACAGCTTCCTAGTAAGAAGTGGCATACCATTTTTCCTGCTAAAAAGCACTTGATTTGTTTTCTGAGATAGAGAAAGGGAACATGAAATAACTATAGTCTGTACTTTAAAGAACTTGAAAGAACTGTGAAACAAAAGGAAATGTAAAAAGTACCAATTTCAACCATTAACAAAGTGCAAGTCAAATTAAGCTGCTTTTTTTTTTTTTTTTTGGACTAGTTGTCTCTCCTGAACTATTAGACCTCACTGCAGAAGAGTAGATGGAGGTGGATGAGTTCTAGATAACCTCTGACAGAAATTTGAGCCCTGCTGTGCTCTGTAAGATCCCACTGCACACTGACAAACTTCTTTGTTTCCTTCCTTTTTTCTTTTTTGTTTTTTAACCATTCTCTTCTCTATAATTGTTTATTGTGTTATTTGTAACCAAGGCAGCAGAGGGAGCTCAAAGATTTTGGTCATCAATAAGAGAAACAGAATCAGAAAGAGAAAGCTAGAACCAAGATCAGGTACAATGGCAGTGAAAGATAGAGGCTAATATGTAGACTTCTATAACGTAATGTGCTGTATGTATATTCTATTAGTCAGCTGCTGCTTTTACATACCAGAGAGACTTCCAGGTACCACATGACAGGTCTTATTTTGTATCTTTTGCTTGTAAGCTCTTTTGTTTTGTTTTAGATTGGAAAAAGGAGTACTTACTGAGAATGTGTAAGATTTACAAAGATGTCTGAATTATAAGGATTACTGTAAATAACAATTGGTAAAATAGTGAGAATAGATAAAATTGGTAAAACTATGGTGAATTTATTTTCCTTCAGTAAGGTAGTACTTCAGGTTTAAAATGATTCAAGACATTTTTAACTGTAACTTTAAGATAGAAAGGTTCTAATGTCTTTTTCAGAAGATATTCCTTTTCAGTTCAGTGGAGAAGTAGACTAATAATACATACAATCAAAAGTCCTGTCTGCATAAAGGCATTTGTTCTAAAATGCAAGATTTGAGTCTTAAGAATTCCACAGCTGCTGACCATAAGCAAAAGTTCTGCACTGAGATGTTAGTGAATGTTATAATCAGTATATTGGCATTATGATGCAACATTTCCCCTAAGACCAAGGTTGTTCTTAATTGTCCACTTCTGGCACACACATTCTCAATAGAATGAGAAGGCCTCTGGTTCTGAACAACTTCGGTATTTTTCTATAATATACTAACTGGAAATGTTTGTAATGGATCAGGTTGTACATCAGAATATTTCAACTATTTTAATCAGTCTGCTTTCAAGGCAACTTAGAAAAAAAAAATACAATTCCTTTATAAATGTGTAACTATTTCCTAATATAGATTATTAATATGGTTTTGTATTATGCATAGTTTCCAGGTGACAGCTCAAAAGGGAACATCTTTAGCTTATAGTTTTTTTTAGGATTAAATGTTCTTAGTCTCCAATTTCAAAGAACTGTTGTGCATATTTAAATGAGGTGAACAATATACTAAAGGATGTAAATAGATCACAAGCATGCTGTTGTACAATACTGAAGAGAGCCTGGTCCCACCCATTCTATTCCCAAACTTTAGATACTTCTGTAATAATGCATGCAAATATATTTAAAAAGCTGCTGTAGCTTTCACAAAAAAAGAGCAAAGGTAACTGGTGTTACTCTGCCTGGAGAAGAGGGGAGACCTCACCGCAGCCTTTCAGTATTTAAAGGGATCCAAGAAACAAGATGTAGACTGACATTTTACGCTGCCTGCTAGTAATAGGGCAAGGAGGATAGGGAAGGAGTTTTAGATTAGAGATAGGGAGGAAAGTATTTGGTGAGGCACTGGCACAGATTGTCCAGAGAAATTGTGAATGCCTCATCCCTGGAGGTGTTCAAGGCTAGGTTGGAGGGGACTCTTGGAAGCCTGATCTAGTAGAAAGCAACCCTATGCATAACAGGGGGGTTGGAAACACCCCTTAGATAATCCTTAAGGTTCCTTTCAGCTAAAGCTATTCTATGACTGTTCTCTCTGCACCATGTCTATAAAAATAAAAAAAAAAGAAAGAAAAAAAAAAAAAGTATATATCTTCATATGCACTATATGTAGTGAAACTTAAAATATAATTCATTTAACAATGAATGGAGATTTTTGAGGTTAGAAAGGTGGAACAGTAATAAAACTAATACCTATCTAATGGAAAATAAGTCATTACAGCTATTAAATAAAACTTCTTTTATTTTTTTTTGATAGCATGATAATATATTTTGTATTAGAAAAAATTCAATTGCTAAATTAAATGTTCGGTATTCAGAAGAGGATTTATTTCACTTAGTTCCATATTAAGAGAAGTTCTATCTTGATTTTTAAATCTCTTTAATTTGAACTTTAAACACTTTTTGAGATAGGATATCTCACCATGGTTGTCTCTGCAATGGATCCAAAGCTGTTTATAAATATGTTGCATGTGACATTAACTGGAGGACCTGCAAAAGGGGAAAACAAACAAAAAAGCATCAGTGTCTATTTCAGAATCAATGCATATTGAGTGATTGTAAAACAAATTGATGTACTAAACTATTATGAAAAAATATTTATTGATTTAAGAGGAAATACTGTTACATTCAAAACTCATTTAATGCAAAATTTGAATGATTTCTGGCATGTAATAGATTATTCCTTTCAATTTTTCTCAAAATTACCCTACCAGACTGGCCAGTTCTAGCATGAAGATTGACAAGGAGTTCATTATGAACTTACACAGAGAATTATATACAAAAGAAAAAAAAAAGAGACAGCAAAAAATCAAATAAATTTGAAATGTATATTTTTAATGTGTTTTTTTAAGTGAAAAATGTATGCTACTTTTTACAACAGTTAGGAGGAAAAGTGACCTTTTTCTCTCAAGGCAGCTTTTGACATTATCTGTCATCACTGGTAACTGAAATACGTTACTGCTGCTCTTATCTCTGCTACTGACAGGAACAAAAGTGAATAAGGAGAATGACTTAGATTCTATTCTCATTTCTCTTAAATTCAAAAAATAGTTAAGAATCCATTTAAGCTGAATTCTTCTGTTACTGTGGGTCTTTAGCCAACTGCTGTTCTGCTTTATCTTTATCTGTATTTGTGAAGCATCAGTACTGGTAGAGCAGTCAGTATAATAACTAAACAATAAGCCATCTCTTCGTGGAAAAGGTTTTAAATTACTTCTCTGCAAGACTCTGTAAAAATGGAATTGTGACACAGCATCCTAATTTCTCCATTATTTCTTATCAATCTATGTCTATGTGCAATGGAAACAAGGCTTTTCTATCTTAAGGGTCTTCTGTCACTCTCCTGCACCTTTGTATTTGTATATCGACTATCCATTTCAGCACTGGAAATGCTAGTGTTTTTTTGTTTGTTTGTTTGTTTGTTTTTTTCCAGTATTAAGCAACCATTAATAGAAAATCTATACCTGGTCTTGCAAATAATTATGTAATATTTATTTGTTAAGAGTCACTGAAGTAATAGGCTATTCAGCCACTGGTGCTTTGCAACTAGCAAAATTTAATGTGACCAATGAAGCTGACATTACATATTTGAAGAATCAGAATATTCATTGAAAATTCTGCCAACAGGACCACCTTGGAACATCTAGTTTTCTTTCCTCAGAACAATAATTGTTATGAAGTACTGCATGGCAATTGTAACAAAACATCACTACATGTACTTCAATCATTCTAATACACAAGGATACATATGCAATGCAGAATTTTCAGGTGAAGAGGTATTACTCTACAGTCACTTTGACGCTACAATCATTTTGCAACTTCATTAATTATTTAGAGCCGGTAAGCGTATTTAATAGATCTTAAAATTCAGTAAGGGATTCTCATTGATATCATATGGCATGAACTCCTGAAGATGATGAAGGAAAATGTGGGGAAAAAAAGAAAAAAACAACAGGGCAGGTGAACAAAGGCAGAGTCACTAGAAACTACTAACGACTGTCAGACAAAATTGTATTTCCTTGCTGTGTTACATTATTGCATAATTTGATTCCAAGGCAGCTTTCCTTTCTCAAATATCTACGTTGTAATACTTGTCATAACTTCAAATTTGGCATGATGTTACCTTGCTTAAAGTAGCACTGTTTTGAAGTATAATTTTTCTTTATCAATATAGTTGCTTTTATAAAGGAAATAAATCCTGATGTATAATTTGAAAAGCAGCATTACAAGAAGACAGTTAATAGCTAGCTAAAAATAGGGTAAAAAGAAACTAAAAGCAATTCAGAAATGGTTTAGAGTTTCAAACAATAAAGTGTTTGAAGACATTCAGTGTTAATCACATGCAAAACCATCCTTGTTATGCGCTTATACTAATGGGCTCTAAATTAATGATTTCTGACCAGAAAGGAGTAGATAGATGCTTTATTGATGGTTCACTGAAAGCATGTTCTGTAGACATCAGGATAGATAGATAGCCATAGAAGTAGATCATGAACTTCCTGAATACTTCAAAATTTCTGTCCACCTTAAAATGATATATTAGGGAGAAAAAAGATGTCAAGAAGGAAGTAAAGGTTGACAAGCTCTCTAAACTGCTGCGGGGAAAAAAAGAAAAAAAAAAAAAAAAGGAATATAGTAGGGAGCAATATATAAACACGAAAGTCTGTAAAGATCAAAAGGAACTTTCTCCATATCTTAATAAGGCATGTGGCAATAAAGTAGTCACCACATTCAAATAGAACAACAACAAAAAAAAGATACTTTGCATAATTGCGAAACCACAATTTTATTGCCATAAAACACTGAAAAAGTCAAAAGTAAGTCAGGACCTGCATGAACTTAAGAAGTTCCTAAATTAATGATTGCTGAGTGCTATTTGTCAATATCAAGGCGAAGAACAAATTACACTTTCCTATATGAAAGTGAATGTTAATTTAAAATCTTGTCCATGCAGAAATGTTATTGAGAGAAAAAAAAAAAAGAGTAAAATGGTTATCTGAGATCTCTTATGTCTGTTCCTTTAAAACTGTTACCAAATTAAAAACTCATAAAGGCAAAACTGCAGTATTTGTTCTAGGACAAACACAGCTAACGAGAAAGTGGCAAAGTCATTTAAGGAGACATTTATTCTTAGTGATAGATCTGAATCATTCTGGGCAGATTTGTTCAAACTGCATAGCTGTCTAGAAGATTTAGAACGTGCACTTTCTGAAAAAGAACAATGTCAAATTAGGTTTTGTCTCTTTAAATTCCAACAGTCACAAAACAAGGCTCTGAGTCTTCTGAATTATATATTCCAGAAGTACTACACTGAATTCACTAATCTCTAAACATCTGTCTGTTCTTCAGTGTAGTCCCATCAGAAGACTGCATTGTGTCTATGACAAACTCCAAAATCCGATCCCCAAGTCAATCCCTAAGCTGTAATCTCCAAATTTTTAGCCCTTATTTGTAGGGCTTCAGGAGACCCAGAAAATGAAGAAAAACTGCAGTGTTCAGATTTTTCTTGAGGTCTGTCATTGCCCCTCACAGTGTTACCTTAGGTTGAATCTGTAGTTTACATGCTAAGGGGAATAGTATGGAAGCAAGGCACGATAAATTTAATAAGTATGTGTTATAGTTATAACCTGGCAGGTTGCTGAGTATCACATATTGTTCACTCAGCCCCTTTTCTCAGTGGGATGTGGGAATCGGAGTGGGGGAAAAGTAAAACTTGTGGGTTAAGATAAAATTATTTACTAAGGTAGCAAAAAGGATAATAATTATAACCATATATACACATATGCATATATAGGAATATATATAACAAGTGATTAAGATATTAAGCGATTGTTTACCATCCCCTGAGCAGAAGAAGAAGGTGATATGAACTCCCACCCCCTTCAAAAATCCTTCCACATAATGTCATGTGGTATGGGATATCCTTTTGGCCAGGTTAAGACAGCTGTCCCAATTCTGCTCCCTCTTAGCTCCTTGATCCCTACACTGCGAGTGGCCTTGGCTCTGTGCAATATTTCTTAGCAGCAGCTATAAACGTCAGTGTGTTATCAACATTGTTTTTATCCTAGAACAAAAACACAGCATCACACCAGACACTCAGACAAAAATCCATTCCAGCTGAAACTAAGACAAGATCAAAAATAAATTAAAAGCTTCTGTTCATATAAGAAAGGAGTTTTAGATGTGGAGTGTTTTGCATTGCTTTGCAAATATTGCTTGGTATACTGATCCTCTGGAAAGCACATCACTGGAATATTCCTCAGGGTGCTTCAGACAGGCATAGCCTGAGGGACTTGTACTGTATAGACATAAGAGATATTGATCATTGCTGTAAATCTTTTAGTGAAGTGTTTGAATTTCCAATGCATGTTATTTGAAAAAGATCAGCACTGCTAATTAACTAAAAATGAAGCATTTCCAGATGTGGTAAATACTTGATAATGAGTTTATACATGCAGTACTGACTGTTCATGACTTACTGGTGGGGAAGTATGTTGACAAACTACTTACTTTGTCCTTTTGAATTATTCTGGGCAAATTTTGGCAAAAGTAGCAAATAACAATGCTTAAGAGTCATTATTACTTAAGTTGCTAAGGTGTGGTGATCTCAAACTGTAAAAATCAGTGCCGGACAGGAATTAAGTTGTAAAGGTAGCAACAGATGATTCAGAGGGGGAAGGCTTGTCTGCTCAAAGGGAAAGTTTTGTAGTAAGCATATAGGAAAACTCATCATAAAAAGCTGAAGCTAAGAGAATGCACTGCAATGAAGGCAGAGGAAGAGGCAACTAAGGCAAAATAAGAGTAATATTTTAAATCATAACAGGCTTATCCTTTCTATAAAATGTTTGTATTTTGGAGAATTTAAAAGACTAGTGGCTTGATATATAGATTCAGGATTAGGGCTAAGTATAGTTCTGCTACATTACTGGAATTCTGCATTCTGAAAAAAGTATCAAATCTATCTGAAGTTCCCAGATTGCAAAAGTTAGAATGTGTAGCACTTTTGTGTATAATTGTTTGTGTAATTGCATGATAACATACCAGGTATGTATGTGTTATCTTTCTATTAAATATTCTAATTTAACATGCCTGCATTTGATAGTATGATTTGTGCTAAAGAATGTGTAATATTTGCATTTGCAAACTTTGTACTTCTAATCTTACTTGAATCTTCTTTATGATGAATGTCAATAAGGCACATACCAACAGATAATTCTAGTTATCAAGAACTTGCAGTTTCAGAGGAGAAAAGGGTAAAGAACAAGAGGAACTCTTGAGGATTCTTGAGGCATGCGAGGAATCTAATGTTACAGGAGAATTTTGTGATAGATTTGGTAACTAAGACAAACTCTTGAGTTTGATTCTGGTGGTTATGTGCTTAATATACTCCTTATATCCAGCATCAGGCAGGTGTTTCATGTAACTTACTTTCTAGGTTACTTCAGACTACTGTTGTGCAAGATGGGAATTCAAATCCATTAACAAGTATTTCAGGAAAGAGAAAAAAGAAAACTATTAGTCCAATAATAGTTATAAGACTAATTTTCAAAAATCTGCATTAGTTCAGTTGTGAAAATGACAGGAATAGAGCGTAATACTACTGAAACTGTAATAGAAAAGGAAATTCACTTTAAAAAATAAAAGTGTATTTCTAGGTTTTCATATTCTTTCCATCTTTTTTTGTAAGAATAAATACTGAATTATTTGGAAGTTTAGGTTTGAAATTACCTTTGAAATTTGGTCTGATCCTTGCATCGTAGCCCGACATCCTACCCATTAGTTTATCCAAGAAATCAGATGGTGACATTGGCATGCTACGGGATCTTGCACTGTCTGTTTCCTTTGTAGCTACCAAGCTAAGAACAGGTGGGGGGAAAAAAAAAACAACAACAGAAACAAAACATTTTGTTAGATATTTTGTTAGGAAAACTAATTTTGCAGAATCAATCACTTTGTTTGTGTATGAACAGGAAAATAGCAAAGTTGATAGTGCACTTCATGATAGTTTAAGCTTCAGAAAATAGTAATAGCAAAGAAGTAGAAACAGTTGGGTTTTTTTGTTATTTTATATGCAAATGTTACATACTCTGTTACTTCTTCCTCAGAACTACTTGAGATTAATGACACTTCCAGTCAACACTTTTTTGAAGCATTATCACAGAATTTTAAAAAAGTATTAGAGTTATGCATGTGGAATATCATAGTTTGGAGTCTGCTCTCAGATTGGTCTGTCTGACTGGGTATGATGTAGATCAGAAATAAAACCTGTAAGGAAAAATACTACCATCACTAGTTTTTCTTCAGTGAATGTTTCACGTTGATATTTAAACATAAACCTACATATCAAACAGTCCCTTGGCAAATGGTATTCCTTTACATTGTCTTAGAGGTTCATTTTTTTATTAAAGTAAAAGTGACTGCTGCAGTGAGGAAAAAAAACTTACTGAATGAACTATCTTAGGGCAAAATTTTCATCTCAGGGCCACATGGAAAATGTCATCTCCTGTAGCCTCCTCTCCATATGTATTTAGAACTCCCACTGACATTCTAAAGTGTGTTCTGCACATGTCAGGAGAGAAGAATATCAGCATTGTGATCAGCCATGTGGACCTAAAGAAAAGGTCTTTATTATCATGGAAATCTTACTTAACAGCTGGCAATCATTATAAAAACAACACAGCCAATATATATATATATGAATAAAATTGTGAGTAGCATTACATAACTAAAGCCACTCCTGGATTTTGGATCCTGCACTTTGACTGCAACAGTCCTAGGTAGTGTTACAGGCTTGAGGCAGAGTGGCTGGAAGACTTTGTAGAAGAAATGGAGCTGGAGATATTGGTCAGTGCTTGGCTACACATGAGTCAGCAGTGTGCTCAGGTGGCCGAGAACCTTATTGGCATCCTGGCTTGTATCAGAAATAGAGTTGCGAGCAGGAGCTGGGAGGTGGTCTTCTCCTGTACTTATCACTAGTGAGGCCACCCCTCAAGTGCTGTGTTCAGTTTTGGGTCCTTCACTACAAGAAATGCACTGAGGCCATGGAGTGTGTCCAGAAAAGGGCAAAGAAGCCATGAAGGGACTGAAGTACAAGTTTTATGGGGGAGTGGCTGAGGGAATTTTAGGCTGGAGAAGAGGAGGCTCAGAAGAGACATCATACGCTACAACTACCTGAAAGGAGGTTGTGGTGAGGTGAGAATTGGCCTCTTCTCCTGCATAGCTAGCAATAGGATGAGAGGGAAATGGCCTCAAGTTATGCTAAGGGAGGTTCAGGTGGGATATTAGGCAAATTTCTTCTCTAAAGGAATGGTCAGGTACTGGAATGATCTGCCCAGGGTGGTGGTGGAGTCACCATCCCTGGAGCTGTTCAAGAAACATTTAGATGCTGTACTAAGTGACAGGGTTTAGTGGGGAAATATTGGTGATAGGTGGACGGTTGGACTGGATGATCTTGGAGGTCTTTTCCAACCTTGATGATTCTTTGATTTTGAATTATGAAGAAAACAATAACTAGGTTCTGCTGTTTGTGCTGACTTTTGGTAAAAACACTGTTGCAAGAAGATACAAATCTCTTATCTACTTCTTTTGTTGCATTCTAACAATACCAATTCACTCTTTTAAATGAACTTAAATAAAGAATTCTTCAATATTAAGTATTGCAAATTTGGATGGTCACAGAATACGTACATAGAAATCTCTAGACTGCTGTCATTTGCTCATATGTTAATTGAAAAATGATTATTACATCTTTTATTTGTGATAGTAAAAATGAAGAGAATTAAAAGATTCTCTTCTAGAAAACTTGATATGGTATTTATGTGAAAGCTGATTTGCATATTTCTATTTTATGAATGAATTTCTAATTTGTTTTATCTTTCTAAATCTTCCTGAAAAATTGTTATCACCCTTCAGTATTATGCTTCAGTAAAAATGCTTCTACAGTCTCCTTTAGTAGCTAACCTCCTTCATTTCTTCCTGTAGCTGGTGACCACATTTTCTTTCTAATTGAGTAAATATCCAACTCTTCTCATTTTAGTGCAATTTGAAATTATTGTTTCTCATCCTGTTCTTATTGACCTCAAACATCATTTTCACTACCAAATATTCTGAATTGATCTGCTTTATCATAGTGTCGCGATTTCTAACCATTTTTATTTTCATAGAAGGTTATTCATGGTTAAAAAGTAAATAAAATAAGTAAGTTTTATTACACCTACTTTACTGCTTTGTATATTTCTGCAAGGCATCAAAGAATCAAGAAATTGCGTATGTACATATATACATAGATTGTAACACCTAGATTTCTTGCTTATACACTTTCATATATATATATATATATATATAATATAGATATATTCTGGTGATAAATAAATGCTCCAGAATATAAATATAGAAAGGCCAGTTATTAGCTTATTGATGACTCTCTCTAAATGGAGATTTGTTTGTGCATTTTCATTTCTGTATCATTTTTTTAGATCTTTCTGTTGTTGCAGATGTAGTTATTGCTTTTAAAGTCTGCCACAGAATAAAGTACTTATATTTATTGTGGTGACTAAAGATTTTATCAAAGTAGAAGTTACTATTTTGTTATATGATTGCATCACTAATTTTTGTTACAATTAGTCAGTTGAAAACCTGATATCTTGAATAATTTTATTGTCTACTTCTGAAAGCAATTTATTCAGCAAAATTAGTACAGTTTGTGTATGCAAGTTTTATTTTGGAAATCAGCTTTTATTAGTAATTAAATACTCCTTCAAGGAGTACTTTTCTTTCTTCTCAGCTTGATGTATTACTGAATGGAAGCTGAGTGCTGAGTTCAGTCTGCTCAAGTTCCCTTTAGAAAGTATTTCAAGAATTCTGTTTAGAAAATAATTTCATCTATTTGAGCTGCATATAAATGAAGTCTGAGTGAGGCAGTGAATTTTTAGGAAGGTCTTATAATTGGTTTATTGGCACAATATTGATTTTCTGTATAAAAATTATCAATTATTTTGCATGGTAAGGATTCTTCAGTTCTATTGTATGTTATCTGAGAAAAACGAACTTTTGGCTAAGTGGCTATAGAAAAAGTTACACTCTTTTTACAAAGTTTCTTTAGACTTCTTCAATACACTAAACTTACTATATAGTTCCAGAAATGGCTTTGTGCTCATCCAAAGGGAATTAACTCTGACTTGTTCCTTTTTTTACTTTTATAAATGCGGAGGCCTCAATTTTTTTTTTTTTAAGAGGCAGAATAATAAGAATGTAATATTGGCAAAACTTCCACGCCATGGTGTACTCAGAAGTAAGGTGCAATAGACTTGTGGTTAGCCTACATAATTATGCAGCTCAAAAGAGAAGGGAAGATGTATACTTCATTCACAGGCAGAAATAATGAATTTTTCCTGTTGAAGAAGTTTCTTATTGGAGAGAAATTAATAGCTCTTATTTTTCACTTCAGTATGTTAACTAAACTTGGTTAAACAAAGAAATTTGTTAGTTAAAGTAGTGGACAAAAATCAAGAAAAAAAAGGAAAATATTATCAAAAATTTATTTAAAATATTTTTGACTTGCTGAATTTAGACCATCAAAAGTTAGAGAATATTTGTTCCAAATAAACTGCTCTACAAAAACAGGTATGAACAGAAAATTAGAACCACCAGGACTACAATTACCTATTTTTCATCTATTTTGTCCATTTAATCAGTGTTCACCTACAATTTGAAGAGAGAGGTACGCTCTACATCATATCTTTCAGATTGTCAGGTTGGAAACTCACAGAAATAGGGAAACATCCAGAATTCACAGGTCTGTGACAGTTGGATGAGTCATATTTGAACCAGAAACTGTTAGGTTAGACTAAGTGGGATGAAAATGTTACTCAGAGAGTAAGCTGCATTCTGTCATAGCCAAGACACAGCTTCTCTCTCCTCCATCCTAAATATTAGACAAAAGGCTACTCAGTGAATTGTGGTAAGAATGATGGTCAGTTCTGCAATCTTTGATCTGGAGTTAAAATCAAAAAGCATCGCAAAATCACACACACAAAAAAACAACCCACTGAGTTATATTCTGATGAGGGCAGGGAGATAACCTGACTTCTTAAATGCAATCCATTTAAGTATAACAACTTAGTACTGTGAAGGAAGGATATTAGCAGTATATCGATCAGAATTGTGGATAGAGTTGGAGAAAGTAGTGATTCAGAAGACAATTCAGAATTCAAGTTGAACAATTCAATTGTTGTGATCAAGTTTTAACTGTGCTACTGTGTTATCCATCAGGGGTGTGGAAAGGTTAAAAGAGTAAGTAGGAATATGAAGGTCAATTATTTCATATGATATTAATGAGACCGGTCCTGGGACATTGCATCAGATCCTGTGTTTTACAGGGACATCAGAGCATTAGGAAAGGTAGAGAACAAGGCTAGTAAATCATAATCTGAGAGGTAGGGAAAATTCCTTACGGCAAGATGTTAAAAGTTTAATCTGCTTAATTTATCAGAAAGAATATTGAAAAGTAACGTGACTGAAGTGTTTGAGTACCTCAAAGGGGCAGAAAGCAGTGGACATTTATTCTAAGGAGAAAATGCAGAATAATTAATGAGAGAGAGAGGTAGAAAAATTCAAACTGGAATTCAGATGCACAGTTTGGATTATAAAGTTAACTTAAGAGTATATGAAACTGTCACATCCAATGTTATCTGAAAGAAAAAAAAAAACATGTAAGGTATTGCTTTTCATGTATGCATAGTTTCTTGAGAGAGAATGGAAAGAAATATGTAGAAGAGAGGGCTTATTTCAGAGTATACGTTCCAAGTCTCACACAGAAAACTTCAGATTGCCAAAAGACACACTATAGGCTTGAAGA